GCAACACAGCTATATCGATTATCAGTAAAGAAGGATGTATTCCAAGAAAAAAAATACTGCCTTTTCAAGAAGACTGATGAAAATTTTGTTTTCCTGCTATTCTGTGGTGTAAGGACTGCAATGCAGGATGCTTACAATCTCATCAGTTTATGCTAGATGAAACAACAAAATATTAAAATTATATGACTGCCTTTGCCACTTTTCTTGCATCTGTGGCATGCACTTTAGAACAAATACAGAAAGGGTGACAGGGCATTGGAATGGGCTGCCCTGAGAAGTGGTGGAGTCACAAGCCCTCAAGGTGTTTAAGACTGAATGTGGCACTCAGTGCTATGGTCTAGTTGAGATGATGGTGCTTGGTCATAGCTTGGACTCGATGACCTCAAGGGTCTTTTCTAGTCTAGCTGATTCTCTGTGATTTTGTGTGAATCTCAAGTTGCGGAATTTCTCCCAATTTTGTCATGAGTCAGAGAAATTGTAATCAACCTTTTGAGCTGTAAATCCATCTGCAGTTGACAATAAATTATGCCACAGGTGTGTACTGTAGATAATTCCTCCAGAGAATTCTGACATTTCAAGAGTTTTTACATTTTAAACAGAATTTTCCAAAGGATGCTCCTAAGCTGCATTTACTTATTAAGAGTCGTCAATCTTTCAGCTAATTTTTTCTGAAATTCAAAAGACTGAAAATAGTAATTTCCTCTTCCTGAAACATTGCTTTAACTACCCTTTTTAAACAGACTACTGTTTTGGGTTTTTTGGGTTTTTTTTTTGCTATGATTAGTTTTCAGGAAAAATAAAACTGTGGTTTTAGCCATCTGAACTGGAATGTTTAGGGCATGATTCAACACAGCAAACCAGACAGGACAGAGCACCATACCTCTAACCAGCATCCACTTCCCTCTGGCTGGATAACTAAATTAGGATTCAGGAAAAAAAAGTGGTATTCACCTGGATTTTCAGAGTGGGCATACTATTGCTCAGAGACTTCAGATGAGAAAACAGGACTATCCAAGTTACAGAAAGAATTTACTGAGACTGCTTGGCTTTGTATGTACATGGTAAGGTAGGAAAGAAGTGTCAATCTCTTCAGGGAAAAATCTAGTTTTTAAAGGGCAAACAGATATAGTACTCACTTTCATGGGTTTTTCATGACTGTCCATCTTTTCATGCTATTAAAATAGTAGGTGGAGATAGCATGTGATTTACACTGCCACAAACAGAAGACAACTAATATATATTTTAATACCCCATTGGTGAATAACTCACTAGTGCATTAGAAGAAATTTTTCAGATGGTGATTTGCAATCTATTGGAAGGCAATTATTGATTATGTTTGAGGTTGACTGTAAAATCCAAGAGACACTTATGAATATATTTGTAAATTGTATCAATAGTGTTTCCCTTATGATTTTTATGACTCAATGACCTCCATTCCTGGACATAACTCTATTGCTGTTAATGGTACACTATGGGGAGGCAGCTGGGCAGTGGAGCAGAGAGTACTATGGACATGGTGGATGGTGTGGACATCTTGGCCCTTGGCCTTGGCCCAGAAACCATGGGAACATCAAATAGAAATGTAAAGGAGAAAGCTAAAAGGAATGTGGCACTGTGTTTTAAGGTAGTCATGTAAGACTGCACCTGTAAGATCCTGGTTAAGCAATATTGCTAAGTAACATTAATAATGCGATTATTGCTTGGCAGTGGAAATTTTATTCAAAGCTGTAAGAGTATATTAACTGAGCTTTAGATAGAATAGATGACTTCACCACTTCACAACTTTACAATAAACGACTTCTTGCTTGCACCTAAGTGGAGTCCTGTCTCTCAACTGCTAACAGTACACAGCAGTATTTATCTCTGCCTTGTCTCTGGAGCCAGCAAAGTTACACCATGAAGCAGGTTCCCTTAAAACTGGCAATGGGTAACAATGATGGCAGGCTAACTTCTGTAAAGGCAAAAGCTAACACATTCTGAGAAATCTTTCCCTTCATGAAAACTTGATCACTTCTCATCACTGCTCAGCTATCTGTAGAAGAACCTTTAGGAATTTTACTTAAATGGCTGTGCTGGGCTGTTTTCTCAGCTTTTGAAATAATGAGTCCTTTCATAACTAGAGAAGTGCCACCACAGAGTGAATTGCTGCAATAAATACGAAGTGAGGCCAAGTAAAAAACCACTCAGCTATCACTGAGGTTGGACCCAACCTTAGAGGTGTTTTACTACAGGAGAATCAGGCTTTCCAGAGCAACCAAAGAAATGAAGCAGACATTCCAGCTAAGCCCCCTGCCTCTGCCGTGCTTCTGGGAGCCAGGTATGCCACTAGGAAAGCTGAGGCAAAGATGCTTTGACTAATGCCAGTGCTGACAATGAAAGAACAAAGGAACAAATTCTGATGAAAGTCAGGTACACTCTATTAAAAAATTAAATTAAATTAAATTTTAGGCAAACAGTTTGAAAGTCATAAGAGGATTAGTCAGGTGGGTTACCAAGAAATCATTAGTAGAAAAAGTTATTTAGCTGGTCTTAACAGTTATAAAGTTCTTGTAAGGGGCTCTGAGATTAAGAGGTATGGCCTAGACTTTTTTATCTTATCCAAATAAAATCCATATAAAGTAATATTTACTATACTTCACAAAGTTATAATTTTTTGAAATCAAGAGAATAATCCTGTTTCTAAAGCATGGAGTATGAATCTTTTGAATATTTAATATATTCAAATCTGTATATTAAATAGAAATATATATGTGTTTTTCTATTTGGATCAAATTTCCTTTAAAAGCCCAAGGCATTCATGGGTATGGTCAGATTTGTGTCTACTTACATAAATCAAAATTTTCAAATTTTCTCAGTGCAGTATTTTGGTCACATGACTGTAAGTATTAATATAAAATATCAAGAAGATACAATCAAACTTTATTTAAGAGAAATGTGATGGCTTTTAAAAAGCTAGTAACTTTATCAGGGTATGTATCAGGGAACATGTATTAAAAAAGCACTTATGCATAAATTTTTAACTATGAAAGTCAGCAAAAAAGATTCTTTTAATTAAAAAAATTGTGCTGGTAGAAATCAGATTCATTATATAAGTGTGTTTAGGAGCTGAATGTAATCCAGTCAATTATGCATAAATATTACTCAATAATAACAATAATAACGGAATAATAAAATGGTTTGGGTTGGAAGGGACCTTAACGATCATCTAGTTCCAAACCCCTATCGTAGGCAGGGACACCTTCCACTAGAGTAGGCTGTTTAAAGCCCCATCCAAACTGGTCTTGAACACTCTCAGTGTTGGAGCATGCACAGATTATCTGGGCAAACTGTTCCACCCTCACAGTAAGGTATTGCTTTCTAACAAGTAACCTAACCAACTCTCTTTCAGTTGGAAGCCATTACTCCTTGTCCTATCACTACAGATCCTGCTGAAGAGTCTCTCTATGGCTTCCCTATAGGCCCCCTTCAGATACTGGAAATTGCTGTGATGTCTCCACACAACCTTCTCTTCTCCAGGCTGAAGTGCCCCGATTTTCTCAATCCATCTTTGTGGGGGAGGTGCTCGTCTGCTTGCCAACTTTATGGTCCTCCTTTGGACTTTTTCCAATGTTCCTTGTATTTATGGTGGGGGTACCAAAACAGAACTCCAGGTGGGGTCTTACAGACCAGAGTAGAGAGGCAGAATCATCTCCTTCAACTTGCTGACTACTCTCCTTTTGAGGCAGCCCAGGGCACTGTTGGCTTTCTGGGCTGTGATCGTACACTGCCAGCTCACGCTGAGTTTTCATCAACCATCACTCCCAAGTTCTTATCCATAGGGTATTGTCATTCATTCTCACCAACCTATAGGTGCACTTAAGATTGCCCCGACCCAGATGTCACTGGCTTTATTGAGCTTCATGAGGTTCACACAGCCCCACCTCTCAAGCCTACCCAGGTCCCTCTAGATGGCATCCCTTCCTTCCAGTGTGTTTACTGCTCTACATAGCTTGGTGTCATCAGCAAATTTGCTGGAGGTGTACTTTCCATGTCATTGACAAGGATGCTGAACAGTACTGGCCTCACCACTGACTCCTGTGGGACACCATTTTCCACTGGTCTCCAGGCGGACAATAAGCTGTTGACTGCATAGATTAATAGATAATAACAGAATAATATATTCTCTGACAAAATAAAAACTGCAACAAAACAAAAAGAAATGTATTCCTTCAGTGGCTGCTTAGTGGTACTCTCACATTAAACCAGCAAGCAGATCAGCTCACAAAAGTTAGCTGATTCAATGGAAGATTTAAAAGATGAGAATAATTTATAATTTGTTCATATTTAAAATGTAACTGGTACATGAATGAGTCATCTTACACTGTTATTATCATTCTTGGCTAGAGTGACAGTGATGAAAAATTTTCCTGTCAGACCAAATATAGAAGAATGTGGGGTGTGTGTCTTCTAAACAAATAATGTTTAACAAAACTCCAAGTGGTCTTATTTTGGCTACAAATTCAACATATTCTTGGTCATCTGTTGCTCATAACATTGATTTTCATTCCACTTGGTATCATACCTGCCTGAGTCAGCTCATGTTAATGTCAGAGATGATATATAAAGAATAAAAACTGCATTTCAGCTGCTGAACTTCAAGAGGAAGGAATGCAATACTAAACCAGAAGATATCTGAATCTGCCAGGTGAAACTCTGTCTTGTCTGTGCTTCATGGGTAGCCTTCTATTTTTATGTCTCTAAAGAGGCAATGAATGAATTAGCCTAGGAGGGAACAGCAGGTGTTTATTTAGAAGGCAGATATGCTATTATGTAGCTTGTGGTCAGTGATCAGTATGCAAGTATACAAAGACTGGGCATGGCTGTCATGGACCGTGACAAACAGCAAAGTGGCATGCTGATTGACCTGCGAGCCCAGTGGAGAAACCAGTTAACACCAGTAAAATTCATGAAGGGTTTCTTTCTTGGCTGACATGCCATTAATATATGCCAGAGAGCTACTGTTAGTCAAGCTGTGGAGCAGCATCTGCCATTTCCACAGACTCTTCAGTGATACCCATGGGTAAGATGGCATCTGGGTTTATGTAGCTGATGACAAATTGAGCAGTCTTTTCTCCAATCACCAGCAGTTTCTCAGCAATCTCGCAAAGACAAAGAAATATGTGCTCTCACAGCAGTACACTCTCTTGCACATTAAACATGCATTGACCTGGCCTCCTTCCATATGTGATTGTCAAGTTTCTGTTCCTCAGTCACTGTTTTTTGTAGCAGAATTGACACAACACAGTTTCTCTATGTAAAAGTCACATTAATCCCCTTTTGTCTCTCCTTGTCTTTTTGCACCGACCTATGGAACAATTTCCTGAAATTCTACTATTTATTTCCTCAATGTGAAAGGAAACTTGATAAATTACAACATAAAAATGAAACTATATATAATGCTGAATGAGTGAAAATAACAGAAAACCAAGACAAACAATCTAGCAGCAATAAGCAACACACCTACCTTGAATAAACTCTCCCTTGCATTTTCTTCCTTATTGGGATTGATTAATTTAGGAAATAGTGATTTCCTAAAAAATGCTAGTCCTGATTTCAAGAAAGTCACCAAAAACCACTCTCACTGACTGCCAATTTAACCCACTGTTTTTCCAACTCTTCTCTTTCATATTATCTTAAACTGAATTAAATCATATATACATGAGGAACAAAATGTGAAATTGCATGATTTTCACAGTGCATGAGAAAATTCCATCTCTCTAATGAGAAGATGCTTTAAAGGAAGTACATAAAATCACTCTTGCAGCAGCCTTTCCAGAATAAAACAATGGGATTTTCAATCCCAGAATCAAATTACCCTGGTGACTGGACTCCCAACATTTTAATAAAAATTCAGTCTCATCAAATTAAGATCAAAAAACTGATTAGAGATATGAAATTCAACCTGTTTCTTTGTGGTTATGTTTTTCTCAGACAGTTGATGGTTAAAACCCTCAAATATGGAGTTTTGACAGCTTAAAAACCTGGTGTGTATAAAGACATCACTTTAAAATCTGACCAGTACTTTCAGAATCAGGTGCTGTAATTTTCCCCTTGAAGATTAAAATCCCTGAATTAAACTTATTTGCACAGAGTTTCAGAAGATAAGGGTGAAAAAATCTGTATCCCAAATTCTCTGGTTGACATAAAAGGCAATAATGTTTCTCTTAGCCTGTTATCATGTTATGATAGATAACTTCAAAGATAAGCCTCGTGATGTAGAAAAGGTTTACCAAATTGAAAGTGTTTAAACAACAGTTATGGACTTTCAAGACTCCTACTGAGGTCACAAGAAACATTTTTCAGTAGAACAAAAGACTGCGCTCAGTAACCGGTTGAGGAGGAAAGGTCTGAGTATAGTTGCACCTCTTGGAAAACCACAGTCATCACCTCACCACATTTTGAGACTCAAAATGTTACCATTTTGAGTAAATGGTAACTGCTGGGCCTTCAAGAGTGTTTGAAGAGCTTTCAGGGAAAAAAACCAAAAAAAACCAACAAAACAACCTAGCATTGTCTCTGCTTTCAGAATAGCACCGAACTGGTTTTAAATTATGAAAATGTGTCACTGAATAAGCATACCTTCCTACGATGGGATGGCACAATAAAATATGTTTCAATATTATGCTTCTTCAAGAAACTATTCCTTTCATGACCGTATCCTGGTTCTACCTCGTAGTCTCCATTTAGGCACTCTAAGGTGGTCTTTGTAATGTGAACTTTCCTGGAGAGAAAATTAGACATTATTGTTTAAAGCAAAGATACATTTTGAGCTTCTTGCTACCAAAATACACTCCTCACAGAATTTCATAAAGAGGTTAACAGGTCAATTTACATGCAAGACCACAGGTTTGATGTAAAAAAAAAAAAAAAAAAAGATAAGTCTTGTACTTTTAGCCAAATTGAACATAGACAAAAATTCTATTACATGCATTTTCTAAACTTAGGCAAAGTGAACAGAAAGATAACTGCTGACTATCCAAACACTTGCAGATTTGCTGTTTTGTAGAAAGTGAGTGTCTGCACATGATCTTCTACATTGTGTGGCTTCTTAAGTTTTTACCTCAACGGCTGCTTGGAAAAACATCCTGCTGTTTGAAACTTATGACATCACACTCCAAACCTCTCTTGTGTATAAAACAGAAACTTCTTTTTCTGTTTCACTTCACATCTTTGACTCATATCATTCATCCACTCTGTTTTGTAGGCAGCTTTCTGACTCACTTTGTTTTGGCAATACACCAATCTTTAATATTATTTTTGAGTTTTCTTATCCTGAACTTTTTTCACATTTCACATTTTCTCCTGAAAGACCCCATATATTTGAAATGTCTTAAGAAAAGGTATCTGAAAAAATTTTACTGCTTTCCTCTATAAACATGAGTTTAGATTTTTTCCCACTGGGTAACTTTAAGATAATGTAGACATAAAATACATTGCCAAAATTATCTAAAGTGGATGTATGCAAAAAATAGAAATTCATCATTATCACAAAAAAATTAATTGGTTCCTTTGTCCTTCTGTACAGCAATCAAGATCTCGCAAAAATCAAAAACAGTATGACAGGTCCTAGTCGAAATGTGAGCTACACACAGAACACCCATGCACCTTTGCAAATGTTCACTGTGTGTATTTAAATTGTGTCCAAGGCTGTGTAATGAGTACTTAAAGTTGCAGGACATACCCCATGGGTTGGCTGCAGGTTTATGTGCTACTGTATAATTTGCAAATGTAATCAATATCTGAGTTCATAAACAGGTATGTCTTTTCTATAGTGTACAACTAGTGTTGGAAATCAGGTCATGTAAAAGGAGCAAGGCATTCTACTCCCCCCTAAAAGTATAGAGGTGTGTAAAGGTAAAAAATTCCTGGTATGGCTACAGGATTTTACTTTTGTAACATGAAATGATCAAAGTCTAGCATTCTTACATTCCTAATACTGTCTCATTCCTACTTTTTATATTCAGCAACTTCCAAAACCGATTTTGCTTGAAAATGCTTTACTTCTAATCTAACCTATTGCTTATATAAATATCAAGATCATTTGGAAAATTCCACAGGATAAATCACATAATACATTGATTGCTCTTGCCAAACACAATCCTTTTCATCAATAGCAATTACGTTGCAAATGCCTTAAAAAATGGAAGAAATTCTTCACCCATAGAGTTTTTGGGGTTTTTTTTCCCTATGTTTTTTTTTTTTTTTTTTCAGACTTACCCAGGCAGTCCTCCAGCTTCCATTACATTAGCTAATGTCACATCATTTGACCAGACATCATATTGCCATTTTCGGAGACCCAGGACCCCACAAAGCACCCTGCCTGTATGCAATCCAACTCTCATGTTGAGATCGACCTCTGTGGCTTCTGCAACAGATCTGTAATGGACAGCATCAGAATTAATATTTAGACGATGACTGCTCTTCATTTTCTCTCCTCCAAAAATTAACACATATATTTATACATGACTGAATAGAAAGGGTCTTATAAAACCTGAAATGCTATATTCAGGTACTGTTCTCTACCTTCACTAGTTTCAAAGCCCTAATTCCAATTAAAAAAAATTATTGGTTATATTTAAATTACTGTTGAACCAAAATATCAGTATTTCTAAATTTCTTGACCATTTATGTGAGAAAAGAAGCACTAATTGAGATTGCCAATATATAAATAATTATTCCCAATCTACTATGTTTTTATTGGTTCAATTACCCAGTTACTAGAGTACAGGACAAAGAAAATAACAAAAGTAATAAATCATTGTAAGAACAGCAGAGTGATTATAAACACTAATATCATTCCAAAGCTCCTGTAAGAGTGACACCTAAGCAGCTTGTGACTAGTCTTGCACCTTTAAATCAAATCTAATGTTCAGAGATTTTCACTGCCTAGCTGATAAAGGATGAATAATTCTGCAAAATTGTTGTTAAAATAATATTTTTTGGTGCCACAATAAGGAAAGATTCTTCATTTCTGTGTATGAAGGGCATGCTATGACTTGCACTCTGCACAAAGTTGTGAACACTGAAAAGGCACCTGGAAACTAATGCTCTTAAATATTACATGTTATTTAATAACACTGTACACAGATTTTTTTCATCTATTTCTGCTAGACAAACACCTGTCATTCCACAGTCCAACTGCTGTCCAAAAAGTGATATTATTTCTAAATAAAGGAAACTATCACTGTAAGAATTTATTTTCACTTGACTTTCCTAATTTGAATTTTCCAGTGCATTTAATACAAGACCTTAAAATGCGACTCTAGCTATCATTTTCTCTTTGTTTTCATTGACCAGTGTTTTTTCAAATGTCATCTAGTTACACTGTAATTTGCAGAGATGCCTTTAGAAAGACTTCTCATTTATTTCAGAAGTTGTACTTGTTTAAATACAATTAACAGAAAGGTCAGCATAGATCAAGATGTGGGATGTGCAGCAAAGATAGCTGGCCTCAATTTAAATAAGAAACCCTTCACCTATGCAGGTACGTTCCATGTCAGCCATCACTAATGTCAGTAACATGGAGATCTCTTTTGTCTGCACAGGGCATCTTGGCATAACATATTTTTCAGTCATATTCTATGCAACAGCACAGAAAGGCTTATGCACAGCTTTCTGAAAGATTAAATATTTCCTTTACCTATTCCTATTCACTGCAAGTCAGCTCTCCTTCACTCAGTACCTGTACCCAGTCAAGCCTTGAATATGACTTCAAGGAGACCTAAAAGGATTCTAGTGTTACAAAGCTTTGTTGTGCACATGGTTTGACAGATCTTTGCGGAAATGAAAGACCCTAATACCATAAGCCACCTGACAATAAGCGAGCACCCTTTGTATCTTCACCTGAGCATGTGTATTGTGTCATTAACAGACTGACCTCACACCAAGCCCACACCTTGCAAGACAAAGCCTTTCAGGATTATACCTTGCCTGCCTATGTTCTCCTGCATAATTAAGAACCTATGTAATAATCTTAATTAATGAACCTGCAAAAGTTTGGGTTTCTCTGTTCACAAATGAGTGTGGGTTTTTTTGTTGGTTCCCTCCCTCCTCCTCCATTTAAAAAAGCATATAAAACCTCAGACTAAATGAATGTGGAAAGACATTGAAATCCAGACACTGATAAATTCACTCAAGGCTTTGACATTGCTTTGTCTGACTGGGGTAAATTCAGTGCCGTTTTAGAAATGTTAAGAGAATAACAAAAAGTAAATTAAAAAAGATGAGCAGAAAAATACAACATGGCTGACCACACTCCTTGTTAAATAAACTGAACTGTATAATGCACCAATGAACCATAAAGTAGAATCTGAAAACACTTTATGTTTTGAGCAAAAACTTTCCATAAATAGTCACTTCGTCAAAAATCTAAACCAAAAATACATTTCTACATCTTCCCCAGAAGGTACAATGTGTTTCAGAGATGCTTTCATCATTATTAAATTTGAGTAGAAAAAAAAAAAGCTCATGGGAAATTCATTACATATTTTGAGTTTATCTTGTAGACCTTTGTGCTCTTTATGCAGATAATTTCCATAAATAAACCCCACTGAACTATCAAAACTGAGGAATATTAGGTAATATATAAAGAAGAGGCTTCAAATTTAAATTCAGAGCAGTACAATGATCATGTTCCTAAACAACATCAACACTTCTACAATAAAATATCACAAAAAATGTCCAGTAAGGTATTTTAAATTATAAATACATTTCTGATAAAATATCAGCACTTCACAAACAAGCCAGGAACAGGAAAAAGGAGTTTCTCAAATAAATTATTCATTATAACTTATTCTCTCATAGGTTCCTATACTTAAGTTTTCCAAATGTTAACACAAAGTAGGCCCAGAAACAAATGGAAATCAAAAAACCACTTTCTTTTTAAACCAATTGTGTTCAGAGTCTAAGGAACTGACTAATAAGAAAAACATCTGTAATGTTTTTCTTATACCCTGACAGCTCAAGTATCCTACAAAGCGTTGAAATTTTAGTTCCCTCCTTAACTACATGCATTTTATGTGCTGCTACAAGCCATGAAAATAACTTAGATTACCTGCAGAACAGCTCCAGACCTGTGCTCCTGAGCATTTGAGGAGGGAAACAAAAAAACTCTGCATGCCATTTCTTATAATTACTTAGGTCTTTTCCTCAGGTCTAAAAATATCAGCATAAATGAATGTTTCCTCCTTAAAGGCATAGATATGATTTTTGGTTCAATTACATAGACTTCCCCAGAGTATTGCTCAGCTGCAGCAGAGTACTAGGACAGAGAAACAGGGCTGTTGAAGGGCTGCAGGCTTGCTCTGGCAGAGGTGCAAGCTGATGAAGTTTTTACAACTGGTAGACAGCTTCTTAAAAATGCCAGCTGCTGGTTCTCTAAAAACTTGGCACCAATTCACTCCTGCCAGTTCAAACGTTTCCAGGCCCTGGACTTTTGGATGACCAGGGGAAAAGTTTCAAGAGTGTTGACATTAGGAAAGTTAATGCTTCTGTCTATTTCCTCAGACAAAAATCACACAGGAAGACTTGATATTTCCATTGTACTTATGCAAATGAGCTGCTGTAGTTCCTCTCCTTTGCTGGTGCTTTTAGTCAGCTAGTGACCAAACCCATTAAAAGGAGACCGTTTGAGCATCAACCTCTCCATTGCAAAAACCTCCTCAGGTGCAAATAAGCCCAGCTTCCATCTGTGAGGTTTTACATGATGAGTGGTGGAGTCATTCACAATTAGGTGGAGTGATCCATTCAGGATAAAATCACCTATGTGTCACAGAAAATAGCTGATAAACCCCACTGGGTTGCCCAGTTCTCAAGAAGTAAAAGTTCATGGGCCTCAGTTTCCTTCAGACCTCTTCAAAGACCACATGCAGCAACAACATTCAATCAGAAGGTCAGATGAGACACATTCTAAAGTAACCCTTCCCCTCCTCACCACAGTGTAGGGTGGACTAAAACAGCAGCAGTTGCTGTGATCCACAGATGTGCTCCTACTGTACCATGCTCCCTGTTGCTACACACAGTCAGTGATGCCGCTAGTGATGCCATTCCCACCGAGTCAGTACTAAAATGGCATCCTAGCAATGTGTTAACAGAAGAAGCCTCATGAAATGTACTGTCTGTGTGACAACAGGAATGATTATGGATTCCATTAAAGTTTTGAAAAGTTTATGAATGTTAACCTGAGTATTTTGACCCAGTCCAAAATTTATATACTGCTCACTCAGAATCTCTCTTTATTTTCAATTGGAAACATTACAGATTATTTCTTGGTCTGCAATATTATTGAATGCAGGTAAATAAGTGTGTCATTTCACTACCACATTTCATCTCCTAAGAGGACTTGCTGTAGTGAGCCAAAGAATTGTTTAATATGATTTGTATCCAATGGTGAAGTGCTGTCTAAGGAAAGACAATACTAGTAAGAAAGTATAAAATTCCCCCCATAACACTTGCTTAAAACAGAACTCCAGACAGCTTTTGGAGGAGAGAGGGAGGAAAGAGCTTTGTTAACTGGGCATAACTTTTCTACATGGCAGTTAGCTAACAAATATATCTATTTAGAAGGTAAAACACTGTAGTACATGAGAATGAAATTTCAAATGCAGAAATCAATTTAAGTAAGGTGAAGAGAGTGCTTGGCCTAACACAATGTTCATAACCAAGGTGAAGAGATCGGCCACATTAGAAAAATACATGACATATTAGAGGCATTAATGAATATGATAATTTAAATTATATAACTAGCAAAAGCGTGACAGTCAAAACTCATATGGTAGGAGCAACAATGGTGGTATTGAACACTTCATTCATTGCTGTGGCACTTTAAGTGACTCTAAAGTAGAACAAACACCTGGCTGTACTGAGGCACTGACAGAATGGCCGTAGAAGTTCTTTTGGAATAAAATCTGTAACACTATGGAATAAAAATGTAACACTATCTGTGTTACATTTTTAAGTTTTTAAGAATAAAAAGCTCCTCCCATAATTATTTTGGTTCTGTTCCCTTGAAGAAAACCCTTTGAGGAAGGTGGATGAAATTGTGAAAATTATAATTATTTTATGATACTTTGAAAATTATGTTCCCAGATGATACATTCAGCACCATATTGAAGGATACTAAAATAACAGTTATGCAGAACATGAAGAGAATAGAATGTATCAGTTTACCTGAACACATTCAACTCAGTCCAATCATGGAACCAACAATCAGCCATGGAAGTTTCTATTCCTTGATTTTCCAGAAAAAAACCCCGGCTCTTGTTAGTACATATCTCTGGGATGGACACTTTTGACAGATCCATCCCATGAATCACAGTTCAAGTGATTTTATTTATTTATTTATTCATCCCAGGTAACATGACAAACTTATCACTAGGAAAGACAAATTCCAAGCATAAATTTACAGTGCCAAGACCTGAATTTTACAGTAAAGTGAATAGACTTAAAAAAGACTACCAGCTGGCATCCACCTCTGCATGAAAGAGGGAAGTTTAAAAAATGTGACTTTCTATCTCATGGAACTGATAAGCAAAGCTCAATAATCATACCAATACAATATAAAATGCTGCATTCCAACTTCACTATCAGAAGCTCCTGATTTCTCCTTTTCATTTACTAAACACACTTTAAAACAAATTAGTCTGGGAAATCTATCTTCTAACTTTGGTTTCTGTGAAGGACAGAGACTAATTGTGCTTATGCACAAAGAATGCAGAATATATCCCTAGGTATCAAACAGCCTTGAGTAGATGTGGCATTATCTTGAAACCTTGCCTCTTGCCGATCTTGCTCTCTCACCATGCTCTGACCACTAACTACACAAAAGACCTACAATTTATGAATTCTTAAAAAAATTAAATCCTGAAATGGCCAGTTATTTTCTACTATAACCTGTGACTAAACATGCCTAGATAACATACTACAGCTCATCCACATAAAACTGTGAAGTTGCTGATGCTGCAAGGGGCCTCTGGAAATCATCTAGACCAACACACTTGCTCAGAGAACAGCCAGCTACCAAAGTTTGTCCAGAACGGTGCCTAGCTGGGTTTAAATCTCTCCAAGGGCACAAATGCCACAACTTTTCAGTGGAACCTCTCCAGTATCTGACTACCTGCATAGTAAAAAAATGTTTTTCTTCTAATGAAATTGAATTTCTTACATTTCAGTTTATGCCCATTTCCTCTTGTGCTGCCACTGGATGTCACTGAGAAAAGTTTGGCTTTGTCATCTTTACTCCCTCACTCTAGGTATTTATCTGCATTGATAAGAATCCCTCTAAGCCTTCTCTTCTGCAGGCTGAACAGCCCCAGTTCATTCTTTTCTAATTCAACTCCTTTTCCAAGTTTACATTATCATGTCAGTAGCCAGTAAAATAACCCTAAAAAGGGAATATGTTCATTTCTAATACTAAAACTGAAATATTCTAAAGAGGAAAGTTCCAACAGTTATACTAATACCTTTGTATACATGAAATATACAGCACAACTAATTAAAGCTCAAGGGTAGGTTTAAAAGAGGGTGACAGCATCATCTATTGCTTTCCAGGGATTTAAAGAAACCCAGAAAAACCAAAAGGCTTTTGAAAAATGTGTACAAGACCTCTACATCTAATTATTTTTTCAAAGGTCCGGACTTCCTTAAAAATGGAGAATGAATATACTGCTGAAAAAATACACATATTCTTTTAGGGTTTTATATTATCATAGACTATCATAAATTATAGAGTAAGAGATTAAAAAGTGTTTTATCAATTTCACAATGCTTACAAATGTGATGAACTTGCATTGAATAAGGGAGAAAATGAATTAATTTACCAAACTTTTCACACTCTGAGAGATTTTGTAGTATGTTTAGCAAATAAAAAGGAGAAGTGGGCAATACAGTAGTGAAGAAATGTTCCATCTTTATCCTTTCCCTCCTACGTAATAAAATAGATCTCCAGCTGCAGCAAAAAGCTCATTCACACTTCTCTCACATCCATATTTTTTGCCTTGGCAAAATAATGATCACTGTAGACCTCTCAAACATAAACAAAAATCTGAGCAGCAAAGTAAATTTCACGTTACATTTCTGAAAAGCAGAATAAATGAAAGGTTTAAACATTACATTAAAATGGAATAATCAACAGGCTATGATTCTGAGACTTCAAACACATATACAACAGGCATACATCAGGACTGGTTTTGACTTTACATATTGGTGTGCAAAATGCGCAATGTTATTTGTTTAACACAAGTGTGTTGCTTTATCAAAAGCAACACATTTGACTCATTTTGTTGTGGCAATAGGGTATATTTTCTTATTTCCAATTATCTTTCTGCCACCTATTCAGTACATATGTATGTGCCTCTATATACTCAATTTGCACACTTACTTCTTGCAGTGATTAAATGGAGTGGAAAATCAATGTCTAGAGGGGCTGTTCCTGAAATCAGGGTCCTGTGGCGTGCATGCAAGAGTGTGACTTGCTAGGTGAGTAGTGCTAGCAGGCATTGACATTCTTCTAAGAGCACACTTACTGAACACCACACAGGAGCTGTTGCAGCACTCCTGTCTGGGTTCACCATGCATGGTACTTACGTGATGGTGTCAATCATATCCAGTCCCATTTCAACACAACAATGGGCATGATCTGTTTTTGGCTGGGTCAATCCTGATACACAGTAGTAACAGTCCCCTAGGATTTTTATTCTTCTGCAATGATTTTCCTTTCAAAAAAAAAAAAAAAAAAAAAAAAAACAGAATGGGAAAAGTTTTACTATTTATATAAATATTTCAATACTAACGGTAAAAATCTTCTCCAATACTATGCAATTATTCAGAGAATCTTTTTGTGATCAAATGAGGTAATTTACAGTTAATGAAATCTGGGTTCCCAGTACACAACAGCTGACACACATTTGTTGATTTATTTATAAATAGACACATATATACTGGACATCAGCCCTGCATTGTTCAACACACATGGGTTAACACTGGTAAAGATATAGTTCTGAACAAATATTATTGCCTTGCCCTCATGCTAGGTTAATATGAATTCAAGATTTGCAATGAGACTTCATTTCTATATGAAACCAAACCAAAGGACTGAGGCCAAACTACAGCTGGATATTGGGAAATGCTTGCATTCTGAGAAGCTTTTGTTTCAAACTCAGTTCAAATTCACAAGGAAAGATTATTTATTTATCTGTAAAGGTACACACATGTTTGCATTACCTATTCATAAACCACAGTTTGCAATACAGCATAATCAGTACGACAGACTTGCAGATGAGAAGCTAGTCAGTTTGCATTACAATCAAATTTATCTCCTATTTGTATGAAGTTTAATTTCTACAGCCAAAGAACTCTGGTAAAAACTCTCCCATTAAAAAAAAATAAAATAAAATGATGGCATGCATGTAATGGATTGACTCTGGCACAGTGCCAGTGCCCTCATGAAAGGTGTATTTCTTAAAATGGTTACTGTGAGATGTGACTTGGGAACAGAACAAAGCAGGCTCTAACTTGGGAATGGAGGAAAAAAACAACACTTTATTAATCTACATAGACACAAAAAAGGGGAAAAAAACTACACACACAACAATCTACAACAGAATACTTTCAAAACACTCCTCCTCCCCCCAGTCCTCTAACATTCAAATCCTCTCTAACTCATCAATTCTTCCCCCAATCCCCTCCTTTCACACAAGCTCTCCGCAGTCCGTCAGGAGAGAGGAGCCTCCCTCTTTCACCATGGGCCGCCCCAGGAAACACAGTAGAACTTCTGTGCTTCCATGCCACACACGGCAGCTGCTTGAAGAGAAATCTGCCATGGTGACCATCTTCCTTCTATGTCTAGTGCTCTCACCACTGTCCATGGATCCAAACTACTCCTTAGGTTTTTTTTAAGAATGCTTTTCACCCAGTTCCAAGAAGTGGCCGCCTCTCACCATTTGGGACGCCTGTCCCCCCCATATTCAGTCCCCTGGGTCCTGGGTCTCAGGAACAGAGATCCTTTGCTGAAGGCAGAGGGTTCCACCACACCCTCCCCCTCAGTCTCTGCTCCTTTTGCTTCTCCTTGCGGCCTTATCATTCTTGGCTTCCAGCCAATCGCCTCTCCCAAGGTGCAGTCTCTGCATTAACAGAAGCACCTGGCTTCGCCCGTGGCTATGTGGGAGAAAAGTCCAGCTGAAGCCACTTTAATCATCTCTTCCATCTCAGGTGCTCTCATCTGCTGGCATTCCTTCTCTTACTCAAACCTTCTTCATCTTTCCCATCTTCCGTAGGGGCTGCCCAAACTATCCCAGGATTCCTCCACCCCTGCATCTTGCAAGGCTCCGGCTTTTCTCTCTCAGGCCGCATGGCCTCCCCCTCCCCCACCCAGACACAGCTGGGCAGGGGAGGAGATCCCATCATCCGATCCGCTCACCTGCCAGACTCCAAAGAGGAAGTCTCTCTGGGAATGCTCTGCTTTTAACCCTTGTGTGTTCTCAGAGGCGTACCCAGGTCCCCAGTGGCCACACCAGGTGCCAATTTAAAATCTGGCCACTGATTGGTTTGACCATAACTTTCCCGAAACCTCACTTCCTGGTCAAACCACAACACATGTGATAATTGCTACATCCATCTGAGCAGAAAGTTAATTTCTAAACAGAGAGCATATAAAAAAATGCCTTTAAAAGAGCAGTACCTTTAACTAATAAACTATGAGGAGACATGAAGAGATGATGGTATCTTTTGTAACTAGACTATGGCAACTTCTACCCATTTAGAGTTTGGCACAGAAAAGTAAAAAACCTGATTAAATGAATCCAACTTACAAAGCTGGGATTATTCCAGTAAGCACCATGAAAAATTAACTGTTGTGAATATGATGGGAGTGGATCCACAAAAGTCTGACTCTTTTCCCAGCAGTGTACAATATAGACTTTGGCAACACAGGAAGGGGAAAAAAAGGAGAGGGCGGTGATGATGGAATTTAAAATTTCTGGAAAAAAAAAAACTCTAATCATAGAATCATACTCATTCAGCTCCTCATGCAGACATATATTTTCATCCAGTCTCCTGCCTACAAGAATTAAAGCCTTCCTGAGTTGATCACATCATTACCCACAATCCAGCTCAGCAGCAATGATTATGCCCACAGTGATCCTTTTCCATCTGACATGTCACTGTGTGCACCACCATTTGGGGCTTGTTGCTACACACACTTCCTGCTGCAGGCATTCCCATGCCTCTCTACTTTGTAAATGGTACTCAGTATTGAAAAAGTAGTATAAATAAGAACTACCTCTGTTCACACATGGAAGAAGGCACAGTTTGGGAAAGTTGGCTTGTCAACTTCTTTTTATAAATTAAACTGCAAATTCAGACCTCAAATCAAAGAGGAGACCTGTTTTTTTTTTGGGTATGCTTAAGTAGTAGAAAAGGCTTTTCCAGTTGTGACTACTTGACATTTGCTCTTCTGTACATCAGAATTTTAAATATTCCACTAATTATCATTACTAATATATATTTTAATGAATACAAGCATAATTCTTTTACATGGATTATCACCAGGGCCCTAACAGTATTTCTGCAGCCTATAGCCAAAAATGCCTCACCAATTTTGCTCAGACTTTTTTGAAATCCTTTGCTAAATGCTGTTATATAAGTAAAAAATTATTGCTGGCACAAAGTAATATGCATATCTCAAAATCTTCTTTGATACAGAGCAGTCTTTTTAATTCAAGCTATTTGGACACTAATCACTATATTTTTTAATGGAAAACACAGAGTTTTTTATTAGATACCACTAGATTATACTCTCAAAAAAGGCTTCCCCCATCCCCCCTCAATTTTGGGCAGACCTTGAAGCACTAGAGTATACTCAGTAGTTAAAGCTGAAGCTTGCTTTCCAAAACAAATTCAGGTTTGGCCCATACTTCAAAATCTTCTATAAGGCCCTTTTCATATTCCAGTTTGATATGCATGATTTGTGGCCAGACAATGGCTATTTGACCCTTAGGAAAGCTATTCAGAAAAGCCATTTCAGTAATCTGGGGTGAACAACACATAAATGTTAATCAATCCATCTCTCCTATTAGTGTCTACCTCACAAAGGCCTCATTTCTAATGACTTGATAACAACCTGGTAGACAGTTAAAGAAATAAAATTTAAAAAAACAAAACAAAACAGAGTTTACTCCATTACCACTTTTCTGAGTCAATTTCTTATTTGTGCAGGAGAAAAATAAAGGAAGAAGAAAATAAGTGCAACAGTATTTTCTGGAGATATATTTATCTTGATGGAAGACATATGGCTAAATCACCTTCTGGTTTTGAAATCACTAGCCTATTTGTTCCTTATCAGATATTATCCTCACTGTCCTGCTTTATCAATTAATATACAGTAATCTCTAGAAAAATTGTTGTTTTCTTTTTCTTGACATGTGAGGTAAACTTCCAGGAGAGACCCACAGTGCAGCTTTGAAAAAGCCATCTTTTTAAGGACTGATATGCAAATCAATTAAAAAAAAAAAACCTCCTCTGTCTTTGTTATATTTTCTCAGCAACTTCCAAAAAATCCTTCTCTTGTCAATATTTTTTACATTTGTGACGCTGATGAATTCATGTGTGATAGTTACAAATTCCAGTCACAACTGACACAAGCAATGTCAGTTTAGAAACAACAGATACTTTGGTTTTATGGACATGATAAAAAGCATTAGAGATTGCCAGCACTGCATTAGGCAGGCAGCTTGCCCACCTGTGGTGCCTTACTAAGACATGTCCAAGTGGATTGGCAGAAATCCCTCGGGCACAACTGTCAGTCACAGGTCAGGTAGTGTGTAGTGGAAGCCCAAAGCAGAAAGCAGAGGACTTTGAAGCTACTAAGAGCTTTTTTCACACTTTCAGGAAAGCACTTCATAAAGCAGTTTATTCTATCTATCTGTTATGTAAAACCGCGGAGGGGGGGAGGGGGCCTTGGAACTTTGTTGCAAACAACTCTGAGGTTTTGTTGTTGTTGTGGTTCTTTATTTAATACATTTTGCCTAAAGAATGAAGTCTGTCAACTCAGACTGAAAAACTGAAAATTCAGAACATTAACTTCACATTCTTGTGCCATACAAGACAAGTCTTTGATACACCCAGGATAAGGTTATTTTTTAATAAAAAGCGAAAAGATTTTACAGTTTGTAAAAAAAAAGCTTATACATAATACTTATATATGTTGTCTCAAAGAAATAATAAAGAAGGTGTCAGACTTCTCCCAGAAAAACTCGTAAGAATGACAGTCAGATGTTCTCTAGGACAAAGAGATTTTACTGAATAAGTGCAAAGTCTTTTAAAGAAGGATCTTTCTCACATGTCAGATTGCAACAATCCTTATTATCACTGCTGGAACTTTGTTTTTATTAATAGGCTATCCAAGTAAGTAATTATTATGTGAATAGATTCAAAATCAGGATCAATTTTTGTTGCTTGTAACTCTGTCTGGTAGGAGAAGAATTTCTTTAAAACTTTTATTTATTTTGAAGATGGCAGACGCTAATGCTGGAATGAGTCCCTGGTCTTCCTTCTGTCATTGCAACAATCTATATATTTGTACATAGTCATGTGTCATCATGGCATGAGCCAAAGAGGAAGGTCAGATAGACTACAACTTTAAAACACAAGATTTTAAAAGCATAAACATTGAACTCTGTCTTGTAACTCCATTGACTGCAGTGGAATTGTGCCAAGG